CCTCGGAAGCACAAGGTCCCCAGTTCAATCCCCAGTACCAAAAAAAAAAAAAAAAAGAACATGGTAGTAACTTCTCCTTTAATAACTATTGTTTATAAGTATACATTTTTCAAAAGAGCATGGTGGTGCACACCTGTAATCCCAGCACTCGGGAGGCTGAGGCAGGAAGATCACCAGCAGTTTGAGGCCAGCCTGGGCTACATAGTGAGTTCAAGGCCAGCCTGAAGTACACAATGAGACCCTGTCTCAAAAACAAACAAACAATAAAAAGATAACCATGTCCACTAGTCTACCAACTTCTGTACTTTTGGGGGCAGAACTCCATCTTAGTGCTCAATATTCTTTCAGTGTCTAGAACTGTTCCTGGCCCATTACATTTTCTAAACAAACACTTGTGGAGCTGAAATTAATAGAATAGAATCAATTTCAAATATTCTCATACTGTCACAAAAGGTTGCATTGTGATTTCTAATAGCATTGAAGTAAAAAACAGTAACAGTTTAAGAGCTTTGGTTTCTGTTCCCTGTTGCTTACTTTGAAAGACTGACAGAGGTTAAGTGTGATAACTTTGATCCAACGTTTAGCATAGTGCTTGAGTTCATGTAGTAAATGTTGAATAGATGTTAGCTTTTAGTGATTTGCCTTTTTTTTCAATATGTACTTTTTCTTCTAAATAAGTACCTATTTTTTTCTGAAGACTTTTAGTTAGATTTTTTTTTTGAAGCAGGAATAAGCTACTTCTTTGGGGATGATATATATAATATGTTACAGACTTGAGAGAATGAAATTTACTAGATAAAAGTTTATAAGTAATTATTACTTACATTCCCTATATTAACCTAGTAGTCCAAAATCTTACTCATAGTATTCCCTTGAAACATATTTTAAAATAAGCAGTGCTATAGAGTCATAAATACAATTTTTAGTTCTTTCTGTGCAATTTTTACGTCTAAGTTTTTCATGCATTTAGCAAGTAAAAATGAGCCCTGTTAGTGAATGAGCAATCTGAGCCAACAGATAATGAAACCTGACTTATTCCCTGTATGTAGAAGATACATGAGAATAGCTGAATTGATATTGCTAATCTACATTATACTCTGATAATGTCTTAACAAGTTTGTGCCAACATATCAAGACAGGTGCATAAGCAAGCCCAATCATATGAAATCAGTACTATGGGTACTGAATAATGGAATTCAGTAGCCCAGCACTATCCCATAGATACATAATGTGGGACATATATGCAACTTTATATTTTATAGTACCCACATTAAAAATAAAGACAGGTGAAATTAATCATCGAGTTATATTTACTTATATATTAATTTATATTTATTAGTTTTATTTGACTCTGTATATTTAAAATTTAATCATTTCAACATGCAATCAATATAAAAAGTACTAATGAGGTGTTTGAATTTTGTTTTTATTCCAAGTCTTATATATTTGTACAGCGCACCTGAATGAACTCTGGCCACATTTTGAGTGTGTAGGAGGGTATAGTGGGTTTCTCTCATTGGGCAATACCACTGTAGTCATTCCTCCTTTGCCTCAGCAGGAGAGTCCAAAGAACACCGATGTGATGTACAGGGGAGAAAAAGATCTGTTCAGAATCTTAAAATATGTCTGTTCCTGGCTCTAACATTTGATACTGATATGACTATGAACATGTGATTTCGTTTCTCTGGCTCTCAAATACCTACCATACTTTTCTTTGGAGGCTAGGGAAATGGGAGATTAAATAAGACATTGTATGTGAAAAAAGTGCTCTGTTAAATCATAAGGCACCATGCACATGCAAGGCATTATTGCCTCCTTTATTGTAGATTTATTCCCATGAATTGTCTAAGGATATATTCCAAGTTGGTAGGAGAATCAATAGAGTTTGGGGCTTCTGACTTCTAGCCATCTGTTTCAGCTAAGGACTTCTTATACTCAACTTTTATTTTAATTCTTTTTATTTTAAAAAGGTCTTTTTATTTAAAAAATTGAGGAAAGAGGAGAGTGGCAGTAAGAAGTAAGTTCCATATTGAACAGTTAGAGTCTTTTTGGCCACTGTCATAATGTTCTATAGTAAAATTATAAATCTAGGCTATTTATATACTTATATATTCAGAATTATAGTAATCAAGAATTGAACTTTTTGCAGTCATATAATATAAAACCTCATGTTCTTTAAAGTTTCAAACAACTTTTAAATTGAACTGTGTTTTCCCTAAAATGTAGTACAACCACAAGAAAGCCCTTCCTTAGTGGGCTGGATTAATAAACTAGATATGGATCAATTCAGTAGGTTTTCTATTTTTGGTTACAGATACAGTTCATTAATTCCCATGTAGAAAACACTACCTCTCTAGTGTGAAGCCAAAAGGCACATTAATGTGGGAATAATTCAGTTCAATCCATATTATTTTGTACTTACCATGTGTAAGCCACATTGCATATTTTAATGTTCAAAAGGAGTTTGTTCCTATGACAACTGTCACTTAGGTATATACGTTGTTTAACTGGAGAAAAATAAGGCATATGTCTACCAAAATCTCCATCATATATGAATCAAGAATCTATATTTTTGGAAGGTAAAACATATTTTCAGAAAAAGAATTCTAGATTACTCAAAAAATAATTTAAAAAGTTATATCTGTACTTTTAGAGAGCATACAAAGGATTAGTTATGATCTTTTATTTGTCTAATTGTATGCCTATCATAGTACTAATATTTCAATTTTTTGGATTATTTTCTGCATTGGTGTCAAATGAACTTCTTCATAAAACTTAAAAACCACATAAAAAATTTAGGCATTAGCCCAGTTCATTTTCACAGAGAAAAAGAAATATATTTTAAAAGTTCTTTAATTTCTTCTTAATCAAAATTTTGTAAAATAACTTTTACTGGTTGCTTCATTTTCATTTCATATAATCGTATTTAAGATTCAGGCCTGCCAGAATTGATGACCACACTGAATACATGTAATGTTTATTTTCACATGCTGAAACACTGCTGTTGACTATTAAATGAAATAGTTTATTGAGTAACCTTTACATTTTATTACCTTTGCACCTGAGTTTAAAAACAAAGAGATTAATTTTTTAAAAGTCCAATAAATTGTATTTTTGATATTTCTACCATAACTTTATAAGAAATTCCTCTTTTCTGCCTTGTAATAACCACCATCTGCATTTTTATGATTTAGTTTAACATTATTATTGCAATTTTTTACTGGGTAAACTCATCAATGCCCTTGGCAGAAGAGTTTGTTACATTAAACCCAGAAGCTGAATCTACTGGTTACAAGACTACAGAGTTTTTTTGGATTGAGTTTAGAGCCATGTCCTGACTTTATGAATGTAACCTGTGGCATGTCTCTTTCATCAGCTTCTCCAAAGTCCTTGATTAGCTTGAGTCCTATAACCTGCTATTTAAATAACCATGTATTCTTTTTAATTTAATGGTTTTGTGTTATAAATATTTTATTTGGAGAACATCTGGCTTTGAGGGAATCCAGCCAAAATAATTAGTGGTATCTATACTAAAAATGTAAAATCATTAATGTACAGTATTTGCATTTCTTTAGGAACTAGAATGGATTCATTCTAGACCACCAGAGGTCCACAACTTGGTTTCTAGTCTATTAGGAACCTGGTTGCACAGCAGGAGGTGAGCAAGTAAAGCTTCATCTATATTACAGTTGCTTTCCATTGCTTACATTACTTCTGAGCTCTGCCTCCTACAGATCAGCAGCAGCAATAGATTCTCATAGTAGTGTGAACCCTACCGTGAACTTTACATTACAGAGATCTAGATTGTACACTCCTTTGAATCATTCAGAAACGCCCCCTCCCCCACCCGCCGCCATGAAACCTGTCTCTGTGCCGAAAAGGTTGGGGGCTATTGTCCTAGACAGTTTGTGGCCATATGGCATTGACTGTTAGGCTAAAAGTTGTGCTTGTCTTTTTGTTCATGTACACCCTAGCAAGAACACAAAAATCTGAGGAATATTAACAATTTATTTTTTCAATTAAGAAATAAAATTAAGCAGGTTATAAAAAGCCATTGTACTAGTACATATTAGGAAATATCGAGTCATGTGTCTTAAAGTCACACTTAAGACCAGGCAATAGTAATAAGCATAAGATGGCTGTGGATACTACGAGATAATGTCTACTTGTTAGAAATGGATGGCATATTGTGGTTTTTTTTCCATCAAAGTTCAAAAGTTAATGATGTACTTTATATTTTTATTGCTTTTACTGAGGCATCAATTGAGGAATAAAAGAGATTCTAACATTCTGTTCATTTTCATGGTGGATATATTCAATATCACATGTGAATAACCATATTTGTTATATCATGTTCTATTTCATGCATCCTAAATTGTCTTTAGGAAATTTTAGTACATATCACTTCAATCATCTGAAAGGAATCACTTCTTCATTACAGCTCATAAGTATCAGCTGGAAAAAAATTGGCCCAATTAAGAGAAATATGATAATGGTATAAAAACACATATAGACATGTCTGGGAGATGATAAGATTATTTTAATTTTCCCATTTGCACTGGAATTATTTATTTTACAAATCTCCAGATCTTTTGTTACTTAAAATCCTTTGCTGAATCATGAAAAGAAGCTTAAGTTAGCAATTTTCCTCTGCAAAATCTATCTGCTAGCATCTGGTGAACATTTGGATACCTAGTCAGGTTCTATGGAAATGATTATTTTAAGACTCTATTTCAACATGTCTGGGCTTAAAAATCAGCTAGGATCATACTCTGCACATGTATATTACTCTGGGGGATTAAAAAAACTTGGTAATAGTAACAATGATCTCAAGTCTTTTGCAGCAATTCAGATATGTTGGGAGGCAGGACAATAGGATGTGTAGGCAGGCTGGACATGTGCCTGCCAAGTACTCATGTGCTTCTGGACAGTGACTGGCTGCTTCACCTATTGACCACCCCACAGCTAGGCCCCTACCCTCTACAACTCCTGACACTTACATTTAAATTTGGCTGGGCTTCAGAACTGAGGACCAGTCCTTTCTTGTGCCTTCCTATGGCACCCCTGGGGTTGGTTTCTGCCTCTTCACAGGAGGATGTTGCTTTACTTCCAGAACAGCTTCTGGAAAAAAAGGGGATACTTTTACTCAATTGTAAATACAGTTAAAAGCAGAATTATCATCAAAGTGGATTTTTTCTGGATCATAGGATAAATTATTTAATAGAAATATGTAACTACATACTTTAATAAAAATGCTATTATTTACCAAAATTCAATTGCACATTAAGGATATAAAGAGGGTTTGTATGCCGATTGGAAGCTAATAATTTTTTTGTGTCTATGCAATCAAGTATGCACTTGTTTATTTTTATACATATATTGCTATAATTAGGGTCTGGAATGTCTCCTAAAAAGTCCATGAGTTAAGGCTTTGTCACCAATCTGTGGCACTATCGGGAGGTGATGAAAACTTATGAATTGTGCTTAGTGGAAAAAATTAATTCACACTGGGCATGTACTTCCAGCCATTATTGAGAACCTGGCCATTCTCTCTTTTTTTTGCTTCCTGGTTTCCATGAGGTGAACAGGTTTACTTAACCACTGGCTCTTACCATGATGTACTGTGCCTGCCATCCAGGCCCAGAGTGACAAGGCCAAGTGACCACAGGCTGAACCCTCTAAAATGATGAGCCAAAATAAATAATTTCCTCTTTTTATATTGATTCTCTCAGGTATTTATTACAGTAATGGAAAACTGATTAACACATAACACATATATAAGTTTTGTTGAAATAGAAAATGTATTATATATTTTTATTGTTTTTCATGGTTATGTTATATACCAAATTTTCTTTTTTTTCAAATTTTCATTTATTCAATTTTCATTAGTATATATTTGAGACAATTTTGAAAGGATTTTGGCATTTGCTATACAGGAAGCAAATTTGAGGAAGGAATATCTTATTTAAGAAAAGTAAACTTTTTGAATAACATGTTTCCACTCAATTTGTATAAAACAATATTTGAATTAGAAATTATTCTTAGTTATTTATCAAATTAGGTCTGATAAGGCTATAATTTGACATTTTCAGATTTTGTTTGAACCTTTGATACAATTTAACTAATTGAATATTTTTATACTTTATAAATTTTCTATCATCTAGACATTTTATAAATCGTATGGGATTTCTCTCCCCTTACACTGAATTTCAGAAATTTAACTCTATGTTTGGAGTAACAGTGTCTATTTTATTTTGCTCTATTAAAATCTTAACAGGAACAACTTTAGCAACTTAAATAAAAAGTTTTGAAAGCCTAGATTTGTTAATTAGGAAATGAGTGCAGGATTGGGTATCCAGTTTAGATGTTTTGCATTGTGATATGAGCAGTACACTGTAGAATAATATTGTCTAATAAAATAGCCTGTTATAATGCAAATATTCTCTGCTTTTACTGTTCAGTATGGTAGCCACTTGTCACATATGGCTATTTAACTCTTAAAATATGACCAGTGTGATTGAGGAGCTGAATTTAATTTTTCTTTAATTTTAATTATTTTAAGTAAAGGACCAGTGCTAGATGCTTTCACCTTGAAGAAAGTGTGTTTCTCTGGATTTGGTACTCAATATGAAATAGATATCTTCTATCTATGGAACATCTATAAGACAATAATTTCTCTGAACACAAGGCCTAGGCTCTGACATGTGGCCTCCATTATGGAGTGTGTACAATGTTTATTTGGGGCCAAACAGTGTATAAGGTAGCATTCTGAACTTTGGTCAATTTGTGGATATTCAAACACAATAAAGTTCAGGTTAGCCACAGGTGATTTGAGAATCTTCACCTCTGGAAAGCCATGGGATCTCAGATTATCTCTAAAGATAAAGTTCAGTGACAGTAAATGGACTCAAGGGCTTTACTTTTCCAATGTACTGATTGTGTGGTTTGACTCCATGCAGAAGACTGGTAGGTAACAGATACTTATGAAAGAGGTACTCCACCACAGGTGCCTCCTTGAAAAATAAACTTTGTACATTATTCTTTTAACTTTATAGATTCTGATCAGATATCAGGAAAGGGCTGATAAATACTTTTTGTGCCTGTTATATACTTCTTTATTAATAAATATTTATTGAGCAAAGCACAATGCTTAGTGCTGGAGATAGAACGCTGAAAATAAACTGTATACAACCCTTCCTCTCACGGTAACCTCATTGGACAATAATATTTTTCCAATGTTCTCTTCTTCCAAAATTTACTTTTTCTTTTTAAGTATGGTGAAAAGATACAAGGGATAAATAGAAATTCTGAGGATTATTACTATTTGTATATTATATATCTAATTCAATTTACTTCTCTCTAAACAACTGTTACAGGTCCATTTAGTAGTTTTTTTAAAAAAATTCAATATTGGAAGCACAGAAAATAATCAGAGACCTCAGTTGCCATTTTTAGACTATGAGATTAGCACCATCATTTAACATTTATTGTGTGTTTACCATATATGTTTTAAAGGTGAATCAGAAGATGAACCAGAATATCCTCTAAAATAATTATTAATTAAAATATTTTTTGTTGCTGTTAATGTAACAACACTTATTTTTTACTTTGTCATTCATAACACTGTAAGAAACAGTGCTATATAGCAACTGTATAATTAAATTTATGATGGCCAACCTACATTTATTAAAGAATTTTCACTGATGGAAATTCAAGAATGAAAAGGATTAAGAATTGAATGCATATAACTATAACATCTAGTACTTAAATATCTGATGGTCAAAAAATTATTTTCCCAAATATGTTCATTGATAATCCCCTTAATTTTTGTAGACAGGCACTTTGAAAATGATTTTAAAAAATAAATTACATAGCAGTGGAAGAACACACAAAAGGAAAAAGATAAATTTCTTCATAAATTCTTAAAACTAGTTGTCTACAAAATCATCATGAACAAAATTAAAAGGAGAAAGGCTATTCATTTTATTTCATTAAAAATGTTACACCCTATGGAGACCTAAAACAAGACCACAAGTTCAAAAGAATCTTCTGTGTTCCTCCCATTGAATTTGGGAGAGGTCATGACTGCTTCGACCAATTGAGCACAGTGGAGAAAGCACAATATAGCAACTGAAACTGGGTTATAAAATATCATGAAGCCACTGTGTTGTTTACTGGAATGCTGTCTTTTTCCCAAGCCTCTAAGTGAGAAGTCTGACTCCCTTAAGGCCATGATGCAGAAAAAGCCACATGTAGGTGATTCCCACATGTGAGTGCTCGAGTTGACACTGCCAGCAAAGCTCAGCCTTCTTCTATCCTTGCCAGGGTACTAAACAAGTGGGGTTCTTGAGTCCCAGTTCATACCAGCCAGCAGAAAAACCTCCCAGACCTTCCTGAATGCCTGATTTATAAAACTGTAACATAAAAATTGTAGTTGTTGTAAGCTGCTAAGTTTTAATGTAGTTAGTTATGCAGCAGAAATCACTGGAACATAATGTGTGTGTGTGTGTGTGTGTGTGTGTATGTGTGTCTGTGTATGTGTGCACGTGCATGCACGTATATTTTTACAATAAAAAAATTTTAAAAAGTGAATGTAAACTAGGCATGGTGGCACATGTTTGTAATTCTATCACTTTGAGAGGCTGAGGTAAGAGGATTGCAAGTTCAAGCATAGCCTGGGCAACTTAGTGACTTAATAAGACACTGTCTCAAAATAAAAAATAAAAAACGAGCTGTGGATGTACCTCAGTGCAAAGTTCTTTAGTTTACTCCATGGTTGTGAAAAAAAAGTAAAAGACAAGTAAAGACAGACAAAGGAGGAGCCAGTGAGGGAGATGTACACTTCCAGGCCACAACCCCAGTGAATCACCTCTTCCAACCAGTTCCCACTTTCCAACAGCACGCTCAGCCACCAAACTCCCCAGTGGACAAATCTGAGTACAGAGCCTCTATGATCCAACCACCTTCCAAACACATGAGACTTTTAGGGAACACCCCAGATCTAAGCCATAACAGTAGAGAACTTAGAATAAATCAATACTTTCCTGACTTCTACGTTCCACAGGATTCCTATGCTGCCTACCTTGCACCCTCTCCTCATTCTGTGCCCTCTAACCATATTGACTTTCTTATGGAAAACATAATGCTGATTCTCACTTTTAGGCCTTGGCTCTTCTTTTTTTTCTGGAAAGTTTTCCCCACAGAAAACTGCATGACTGGGCCCTTTGCCATTTAAATCTCAACTTGAATATCATTTCCTAAGAAAACTCTTTGTTTACCTTCCAATCTAAACTCAACTACTCATTTTTATATATCTTTAATCAAATTCCTTTTAATACTATATTAGCATTTATCTCTTCATTACTTTATTATGTATCTTATTTACTTAATAGTCTGCCTGTTGAGAGCAGGGAACTTGTTTGTTTTGTGTGCTGTAACATCTCTTGCTTCAGAACCAGGTCTGGCACATGGGAGTTGTTCTATAAATACTTGCTGGACTCCTTATAAATAAACACATTTGTACATCTGAAACACCAAACTTAATAAAGCAAAAGAAGCAAAACGTGATTATTTTTAAAAAGCCAGAAATGGTAAACTATATTGGTATTTTAAAAAGCTTTGATGGTTTTGATTAGAATTAATTATATTGCTTTAATTTTGAAACAAGAAAAACCACAAAATCACAGCAGCAAAAAATTTTTTCAGGAGTGTGATGAGAGCTCCTCTGTCAACAGATATTTTAAAAACTATATCATCCATTCAGCAGACTCCTTGCTTTGAAATGAAGAATGTTCACTTTCCACCAGTATTTTTGTTTTTTGTTTTTTTGCTGCTGAACATATGATTTATTTACTGGATAGGGGACAAATCTTACTAAAATGACTTTCTTTTCATCACTGATAGGTTTAATTTTGGGGGGACTGCTTAATACAAGAATCTAGAATGATATATTCTAATTGTTTCATTGGGTGAATGGGAATTAAAGTTATTCTTGGTATCATTCACTCTGGGATGCAGGAGCCTTATGGGTTGGGCTTCAATGACCAGGTATGATCATAAGATTCTATAGCAGTGAGATCTATTTTTATAAAACCCATACAAAAAAATCTGAACTTATTCTG